GGGCAGGGGCCCGCAGGCGGCACCGGTCCTGCCTGGTGCTGCGTGAGGAACCCAGCCCCCCGCGGGAGGCGGCAGGGGTGGCAGAGGGGGAGCCCCTTGAGGCCTTCCCGTCTTTTTTAATTCCTGCCCATCAGCATCGACCCACGGGGACAAACACCCCCCCACGCCGCCAGCGCAAGGTGGGAACGGACGGTCGCTAGCAGGAGGCGGCTGTCAGCGCGCGGTGGGACGCCGGCACGGCCGGACGGCAAAGCGGAGCGCGCTGAGGTTGCCAACAGTCGCCTCTTTTATTATTCACACGGCCCTGGCCAGTGTCGCTGAGCTGCTGCGCTGCCAGCTCATTACCAGCACGGCTGACGGCACAGATCACTTGTGTGTCGGCAGCTAGAGAAGCCCCAGCCAGTTCAAGACATCCTATTGTTCCAATATGGTTACAAAAGTAGGATAGAAAATAAGAGGATAAACTTTAAATCAAATGGTATTATATTTAGCAAACTGATTATTTATTTTCCTGCGCTAGGGATGCCTCTGCCCGCTGTCAGAGTGAAGGTGTTAAATTTTCACAGTGAATTATGAAATCATATACAAAAAAAGAAAAAAGCAGCGACGTCACGTTGTGTGAAGAGACATGTCTTGGGGGAAACAAAAAAGAAAAACAGGACCAGAGCGAACGGTCGTCTCGTTAAGCGATTTTCCCCCTCAGTTTATAAGTGCATCATGGATTCAAATTCATCGATTCGCTGTTTGGTGTTTCCTTTTCTAATCCTCCGGTAGGAGATTGTGTTGTATCTGGAATAGCTGTGTCTGGAGATATCATTTTTTTTCCCCAGGCTGGGCTGCTCTCCTGGTTTCTCCACCTGGGAGTTGCAGCCGGGGCTGGTGAGGGGAGACGCCTCCTTGCCGCTGTCTTGCTGCTTTAGACGCGACGCCTCGCTGTTCTCCTTCTTCATTTCGATCACCTGAACTTCATCCTCTTCGGTGTCCTCCTCCTCCTCGTCCTCTGCCTCCTCCTCCTCCTCCTCATCTGTGTTCCCTCTCCCAACGGCACTGGCTGCGAGG